AATGACTTTCGGCTACCGGTAATTAGCTTTTTTGTGGCAATTAGGGCATTAGCTGGGTGTGTACTGGTAGTCGTATACTAGAGAGGGGAAAAGTTGTTTTTCAAGGTTTTCTGGTTTTTTAAAAAAGGGTTTTGGCTTAGGCATAGGCTTAAGCGTATGCTTAGGGATGCATGAAAAAAATGGACAACTCTACACTTCCCAGCGTCTTTAACCCGTCACCGACTTTTCAGAACCGGGATAGGTCGACCATGGAAATCAGCCATATCGATAGGCTTAGGCTTAGGCTTAGGCTTAGGCTTAGGCTTAGGCTTAGGCTTAGGCTTAGGCTTAGGCTTAGGCTTAGGCGTACGCTTAGGCGCAGGCTGGGGCGTAGGCTTAGGCTATGCTTAGGCAAGGCTTGGGGTTAGGCTTGGGTTGGGGCTTAGGCCTAGGCTTAGGCTTAGGCTTAGGCTTAGGCTTAGGCGCAGGCTGGGGCGTAGGCTTAGGCTATGCTTAGGCAAGGCTTGGGGTTAGGCTTGGGTTAGGCTTAGGCTTAGGCTTAGGCTTAGGCTTAGGCTTAGACTTAGGCTTAGGCTTAGGCTTAGGCTTAGGGTGCTTAGGCTTAGGCTATGCTTAGGCAAGGCTTGGGGTTAGGCTTGGGTTAGGCTTAGGCCTAGGCTTAGGCTTAGGCTTAGGCTTAGGCTTAGGCTTAGGCTTAAGCTTAGGCGTACGCTTAGGCGCAGGCTGGGGCGTAGGCTTAGGCTATGCTTAGGCAAGGCTTGGGGTTAGGCTTGGGTTAGGCTTAGGCCTAGGCTTAGGCTTAGGCTTAGGCGTACGCTTAGGCGCAGGCTGGGGCGTAGGCTTAGTCTATGCTTAGGCAAGGCTTGGGGTTAGGCTTGGGTTAGGCTTAGGCCTAGGCTTAGGCTTAGGCTTAGGCTTAGGCTTAGGCGCAGGCTGGGGCGTAGGCTTAGGCTATGCTTAGGCAAGGCTTGGGGTTAGGCTTGGGTTAGGCTTAGGCCTAGGCTTAGGCTTAGGCTTAGGCTTAGGCTTAGGCGCAGGCTGGGGCGTAGGCCCAGGCTATGCTTAGGCAAGGCTTGGGGTTAGGCTTGGGTTAGGCTTAGGCTTAGGCTTAGGCTTAGGCTTAGGCGCAGGCTGGGGCGTAGGCTTAGGCTATGCTTAGGCAAGGCTTGGGGTTAGGCTTGGGTTAGGCTTAGGCCTAGGCCTAGTTCAGGATAGACGTAAGCTATAAGACCAAAAACCAAAAACAAAAATCTAGTCCGACCCTCCAAACCCCCTCCAGCTGGTGAAATGCGAGCTATAGCGCAAGGCGCCGGCCTTGGGAGTATCCCTCCCCCATTTTTGGCACTGTTTGTAGAAGAGATTTTGGCTAAACTCTGGGAATGGTGTTTGAGCTATGGTTGAGAGCGAAACCCAAACCCTATAAATATTCCCAATTCTATTCGCCGAATCACGAGGAACCAATAAAACAAATGAAATTGAGACGTGTCGAAAAATACCGACGAATCGAGGAGGATCGGGGTCCATTACTCTCCTCAGCCCCAATTTTGCCGGACATCCTGAATTATGCGTCCGAGTATTACTTGGGCGGAATGTGGAAATTCGTGCTCACAAGTGGAAAGAACACGTTAAGAGGTCCAAAAACGAAGATGCTCAAGCGAATTCGGAAATTCTGATGAAATTGATGAGCAGACTGGTGAAGGGCTTGATGACGTTGTAGCGCGTTGTGGCAAAACGGGCTTGAGAAGGAGCAGCCGGCGGGGCGGAAGCGGCTCGTCGGGGGCACGCGATTGGCCATCAGGAGAATGCGGAGAATGAGTCTTTTACTGGAGCTGCACTATCATCGTCGTCTTGGTTGGGTTGTGTATTTTGGGAAAAGGCCATGTGACCGTGACAGTCGGATGGCGAGAGTGCAAGTGGACGCAGGAAGCTTGTAGTTTTAGAGGAAAAAATAGTAGGAAAAGCGCTTTCAGGTTTTATCTAGAGCACTTGATGAACCTTCCGGCTCGCATCCGAAAATTTCCGGATTCTAGCTTCAACAGATTCTAAGTAATTTGATTTGCTGGCTTGTCATTTTGGCTTACTCAGCCTCCTCACCAACTCGCGGCACATCAAGTATGCATCGATCGAATTCGCAGGCCAGGGCGGTGCTTCTCCAATCGGATCCCAAGGGAGGGGGTGCCCTTTTCGGACAGTCCCCATCATTTTTAGTCGGGCCAGAAAATGGCATTTTTACCTACCGCATGCATACAGTCTTGCCATTATTGTTCTTTGGCAGCAGAAAACCGGCGCTATAACTGTCTGTAGGGCTGTAAGATCTGATCACTTTCTCTATAGCTCTCTTTCTCTTTACCTTTCTCTCTCTCTCTCTCTCTCTCTCGCTCTGGTTCGGATTTGCTTCTGGTATAAAGTTACCCAGCTTCACCCTGCTTCTACCATCCCTTTATCACCTCCCCATATTCCTGTATTTCATCATTGTAAGCCGGGCTGAATTTTTCCGATCATACCCGCCGATCTTTCGCACAGTCCCACCTCGTTCATCGATTGCCGATAGGCCCGCGGCTAGCTCCGCCCTCCTCGGGGCTTCTCCTCGCCGGCCAGGGCGCATACAGTCAGTCAGACGACCTACCCCACTGTCCGCTCCCCAATCGATATCGTTGATTCTTTATACCTTTTTTTTCATGCCGTGACAGCTATAGCTTAATTAAACCCGGCCAAATATCAAGTAGCGAAGGACTGGCTTTTTAATTGGCTTTGCTTTCTATAGATAAGGACAGTATCACGGATCTTCATTAAGCTCTACTTATCTCCCTTGGAATAGAGCTGCTATTATTTTTGAATAATTCATTTTCATATCAGCTGCTTGGCCAAGCCGAAATAATGATTGAATTTCAGACACCCGTCTCTCCTTGGGTGGTTTTACCATCTATTTATATGGTTTCCTGAAGAACCATGTTTACGCCTGTGCCACGTAGTGCCAGGTTAATCTAATTAACAATAATATTACAATGATAAATGGAAGAAGATCAGTAAAAAATCTGGTAGGCGGAAGCTCTATTTTCGACGTTGTATTTTTAGTTTGCAGCAAAAAAAATTCAGTTAAATGATGATTTAAAATGCAATAGAAAATGTTAAACATGGTAATGGATTGATGTACGGGATATAATTGGAAACTGTTTTCAGACCATTACTGAAGTGTGGCTATCACCGACATCCGGAATTTTACGAATAGCCGAGGAAAGCCACCGGAACTATAACTTTAAGGACAAAACTTAAAAAATTTCACCGAAGTGAGAATTAATTTAAGAAAGTTATTCTAGCGGGGAAGTTATAGAATATTTATCAGTTACTTAACCCGACTTTTTAGGAACCCGAAAACAAGATCGTCGAATGGTTGAATGATAATTTGGTACCTGATAAACCTGGTAATCAAAAACTAGCCGCAGGACGGAACTGCGAAGCATTCGCGCGAGCTCGCACAATCTTGATGAAATTAAGGTAGTCTAAGGTAGTTTAATTAAATCCAGGTAATTTAGAACGATTGTCTCTTTTTAATGATGCCCAAAGAGGGCAAAAGGATTTACACCTTGAAGAAAAGCCGAAAAGATTCAAATCGAGGTAGTAATCGCTTCTTGATTATTTTCCATAATATTCCTCAGTTATGAAACTCATTTTAGGTCCCGGTATACACTTTTGTCAAATATTAAAAAAAAATCAAAAACTGGCTGTCCAAAAAGTAAGCTCTTTGTAAAGTCTCTAACAAAATGCAATCTTCCCTGATTACCCAAAAACAACTAATTTTCAGTTGAGAGTGAAATGGAGACGGATGCTAATTTTTGGATGATGACCCGATACAAACGTGGGAAATACTCCTTAAAGAAAAATTTGAATAGTATGAATGAGGTTGGTGACGGGCCTTCTCGTTTCATTCAAAAAATATGCAATATTATTGATCCTGATCTTGATGTAATTAAGGTCGTCAAGTTGGAAAACATAAAAACTGCCCCATTAGCTAAAGATGAGCAATCAACGAAATTGTCTTTTTTTTAATGCTGACCAAAGAGGGCAAAAGCATTTATACCTTGAAGAAAAGCCGAAAGAGTTAAGTTCGGGGTAGTATCCCTTCTTCCCCATTTTTTTCCATAATATTAATAAATTATGAATCTCATAGGCCCCTGTGATGAGCTTTGTCAAATATTAAAAAAATTCCTAAACTGGCCGTCCTCAAGGTAAGCCATTTTCAACGTATCTAGCAAAAACAGTAATTCCTGATCACCAGAAAAAAGACTAATTTTCAGTGGAGCAGGGTATGGAGCCGGGTGCTAATTATTGGATCATGATCATGTACGGAAAAGGCAAATACCCCTTAAAGGAAAATTTTGAATAGAAAATTCAAACCGAGGTAGTTATCGCTTCTTTACTATTTTCCATAATATTCCTCAATTATGAATTTTATTTTCGGTACCAGCTTAGAACTTGGCCAAATATTAACAAATTCTCAAAAGCGATGTCCAGAATGTAAGCCATTTTGAACGTTTTTAACAAAAACCGTAGTCCCTGATTACCAGAAAACATTTTCAGCTGAGGAGGATACGGAAGCGGGTGCTAATTATTGGATGATGACCAAGGAAGGGAAGCGGATATATACCTTAAAGGAAAATTTTTAATAGAAAATTCAAATCGAGGTAGTTATCGCTTTTTTACGATTTTTCATAATATTCCTCGGTTATGAATCTCATTTTAGGCACCTGTATACAACTTTGGCAGATATTAAAAAATATCTCAAACTGGCTCTCGACAAAGTAAGCCATTTTTAACTGCTCTAAAAAATACCGTAATCTCTGAATACCAAAAATAACTAATTTTCAGTAGAGAAGGATATGGAGCCGGGCGCTAATTATTGGATGGTGAGCAGGCTGAGGCCGGGGAAATACCTCTTAAAGGAAAAATGTGAATAGGATGAATGAGGTTGGTGACGGGCCTTCTCGTTTAATTCAGAAACAATGCAATATTCTTTTAAAGATAAGGAAATGGAGCCGGGTGCTAATTTTTGGATGATGAGCAAGCACGAGCGTGGGAGTCACTGCTTAAAGAAAAATTTTGAATAGTATGGATGAGGTTTGTAGGTGAGCTTCTCATTACATTCAGAAAATATGCAATATTCTTTATCGTTTTAATAGCCATTTTAAAATTACCTGATGATTTTATGATATGTCAATTTTATAAAACATTTAGATCGTGTATTGCACTAAAATGACTGCCACGTCCATGATATTAATTGATTGCCCGGAAAACCAGTAATTTTTGCGATATAACTGTTTTAAAAAATTTAGGCCGCTGTGCATGAGTTGTGGCAGAAAAAATGTTAAACTGCATGCTAGGCCTGATTATGAAAACATGCAAGACGTAAGGAATTTTTTCCATTAAATTTTATAGCAGTGGGAGTAACTCATCAACCGATTTAGGGAGTACCAGCTCCACGATTTATGCTAATGGCCGCGCACGACTATAAACATTGAAACGACTTCAATAAACGGAGCCCGTGGGTGACGATGCTCTCGATCTTATAGTCTGCATGGTTAATAGTCGCTGTTGACCCGCGCAAAAGCGGCTAATGAAAATATATAAAATTGGATAGAAGAGGTGAGAAGTCATTTGTATCTTTAGGTATTTTGAATACTTAGAAATTCCTGGATATCGGAAACCTCATCCTCTAATTGATGTAATATTTGCATTTTTAGACGAATTCGAGCTACGGTTCCCATGCAAGCCAAAACTTCAATATCCTTCCGGGATACATCGAATTGGGAGAGACCCAGGGATGTAAGTTAACTTTTTTTGAGATTTTCATGTTCTTTTTCATGTCAAGCTTGAAATTAACATCTCAAATTTTAGAGCACCGATGCAGGGTGATAAAAATCTGGCTGATGAGCAAGAACAACAAGGATGTGCCTGTGATAAAAATTGTCTATGATGGTTGCATTACCACCATTAACCACACTTTAAATAATACTTTTTATATGCCCTGACAATTTGAATTTTACGGGAAACTCATGATTTTGGTCCGGCTTTCTCCCGGACTTTACCATGTCTCACGAATGCCAAAACTGTGTTTTGCTGCTTCAGATCTATCACACGGTTTTCCAATATGCAACAACAAAATTCCAAATCCTTCCATGTTCCGCAACATCATCTATCAACCCCAAAAATTGGGTGTCATTCTTGAGGTGCTGGAAATTGGGAGCAGGACCCGGTGGGTGGCGGTGCAGCCGGCAATCTGTCTGGGTTAGGCGCTGGAGGAGGGTGAGGAAAAGGGAAGGGCGAGCAGAGGGAGCACCAGATGAAAGGCCCATATTTCAAGCGGAAAACAGCATGCGCGCTGGGCGCGAAGGCGCGTTGATCGGACGGGGGGGGGGGAAGAGGTTGTCTTTGCAGGCAACATGCAGGCCTCATTCCCACAGCTGGGTGTAAATTTTGGATGGGTTGGTGTTGGTTTGTTTTAGGTCTGGGTGGTCTGGTTGTTTAGTGGAATGTAATGTAGTCATTGCTTAGCTCACTGTAATCGCTAATTTAGCTTTAAATTCTGAAGAAGCCTGTTTTTCACGGCTTTTTCCATTCAGCTTTTTCTCTCTCATTTTATCTAGCTCTATCTCTTTCTCTCTCTCTCTCTCTCTCTCTCTCTCTCTCTCTCTCTCTATCTGTCTATCTCTCTGCCTCTCTGCCTCTCTCCCTCTCTCGCTTTCTCGCTCTCTCTCTCTCTCATCTCTCTCTCTCTCTCTCTCTCTCTCTCTCGCTCGCTTCCTGTCGCTTTAAAGGAACCTACAAGCAATACCTTTTCTCCCTGGCCCCGATTCGTAGCGTACCCCTGCCTTTTACACCAAATTACGAACCCTTACCCTAAACTCTCACTGTTTATCTTTGACGCTCAGGAATTTGGAATCCCCTGGCGTTTTTACCCCATCCCCCGCCCCACCTATCGCGAGGCAATATATTCAACTTTCTCCAAAAGGCGCGCGAAATGGATATCTTCCATCGTGGCTGCCGTTCCAAAAAAGTTGCCACCCACCACACCGAGGCTGAGGGCGAAAAAGGTTGTTGAAGGACGTAGGTGATCGGGGTGACGGCTGCGGAAACGATTTCACTACTATCGCTGCGGCAAAAAATGTTTGTGGTTGACGTTCGTAATTCGACGGCGTGGGCTGGGATTTCGATTCTACGCTAGGCGTTGAGATTTGGATCTCGCTTGGGAGGGCATGCAAAAAAGGTTCACGCGGGTCTGGGGGTTGGCTTTTGGGAAAAGTTCAATAAATTAGGGTTGAATCGACGTGCCATGATGGGCTGTTTGGCGCCCATATTGTTTTTAGCTAATTTTCTAGCTGTAGAACTCCCTTTAAAGCTTCAGCGGAATCGCATGACGCTTGAATATCTCAATTTTCGAACTACATCCCTTAAAAATGGACCTAACATTTTTTTTGAATCTCGCAACCGCTGTAACTAACCCCACCCGGGCTCGCCCCAGACCTTTTTGCAGATGTTTCCCATCGGCGAACGGCCATTCGCGAATCGGAGTGCCCATTCGTCGGGCGGAGGGCTGAGGCGCGTGAACCGTACTGTGTTGCCCTTTCTCTTGGATCTCTCTCTCTCTCTCTCTCTCTCTCTCTCTCTCGCTCTCCATTTTTTTTGCGAATTTGCTTTGTCTCTCGCGCAACGCCGCGGCCGGCCGTGGGTTTTTGCCCCGCGGCCCCCCGCGCAATCGCCAGGGCGTAACGGGTGGGTATGGTATTTTGGAAGGGAGAGTTGTCGGGGTGGTTGGCAATTTTCGATTTTGTCGACCTGGTTGATTGACTCTTGGTGCCTATATTTAAAATTTAAGCCTAAGAACCTATTGCTTGACCTTGGTCGTGCCTCTAAGCAAAAACCTTAGCCACTAGGCCACATCCTCAACCCATGGTGTAGGGGTTGGCAAGCTCGTCTCTCAAGTTCATAACCCGAGTTCAACCCCCGACACCCACAAAACTTTTTGCTTTTTCGCGCTTCCCACCACCCCAACTTCCAGACAGAGGGGACCACACACGCGAGTGTTCGCCCCCAGCCTCGAGGGGCCAGCGCAAACTTTTCCCGTCCAGAAAAAAAGAAAAGCGATGTAGGGGTCAAAAGAACGGTCGGGGGGTGTTGCTGGAAAAAGTGCACGTCCGAAAAAGAGGGATTGGGTATTCGGGGGAGACTGTTGACAGTTGGGGAGACCCAAACGAACACCCCTTACCCCCCCGCCCCGTCTCCACCTACTTCGACTAGCCTTGCGTCTTTTGCACAGCTGCTCGGCTTGCTAATTTACACATGTTCTTCGTGGTTTTTAGGGGATTTATTAGGGTTTGAAGGGGCCGCTGGGGCGCGTGTCATTTGTTGCGATTTGCGACTCCGTTTTGAAGTCTCTATGTTTTGTTTTGGGTATGCAGCTACAGTAACCCCCCAGTCTAGCATTTTTGAGTTAGTTTTTTTAAAGTTTGGATTTTTTATGGAAAGTTTTAGGTCATTCTAAAGCTAAAGTCAAACACCGAGTACGATCTGGCCTGCCCGAAACTGCCGAAAATGCGATTCCCTCGCGTCTACTTTTAATTTCCTCTTGGCACGAACTCTCGGAAATTAGCTACTTTGTCGAATTGTTAAGTTAATGGTAATTAGGTGGGTTTTACGCGCAGTTTATTAAAAAAATAGTCACTGTTTAAAAGCTTCAGAGCAATTTCAAAAACCGGAAATCGAATGAAGCAAAAAACAATGGTGTTCCTTTTCTTTCCTCAAGCTCATTCTAGTCCTCCCACTGGAACACTGACGTTTTTTCGACATCAAGTAGAGAGATAGGGAGAGAGAGAGAAAGAGGAGAGAGAGAGAGAGAGCGCGAGAGAGAGAGAGAGAGAGAGAGAGAGAGAGAGAGAGCGCGCAAGAGACGAAGCTGAATCCTGGGGAAGGAGTCAAATGGCTGAATCCGGGATCAGCTTTTTTAAGGAAATTGGGCCCTCCTGCTGCACCCTTCTGCTCCATTAAAGAAATGGACAAGTCCAACTCAGAGCCGAGCTCCCCGGCTCTCATCTGTTACCTTGAAACCCTCCCCGCCAAACCCCGATTTTCCATTTTATAGCCCCGACCCCCGTATCAGGGCCTACAGGCCGGGGCGAACGGGCTAAAAGGGCAGCCGCCCCGTTTTCAGGCTCCTCGTTTTACGCTTTTTACTCTCAACCCCGCGACCTCGACCCGGCTACAAAATTCACCAGGCCGCGCCTGGTTTTCTTAATTGAGTCCCGGGGCAGTTTTTGCTCGCGCGTGTGATCAGTTCCCGTCGCGGCGCCCGGTGGGTCCTATTTGTGCCCTGGGAGGCTCGGGAGCTAAAAAAAGTGCCGAGCGGGTGGGTTAAAAGAAAAATCAAGGCTGTGTTTTGGTGTATGAGGGAATTTATTGTAGACGGACGATGGGTTGTGTATCGGAACGCTTTGGGGGAAGCAGGTGGGAAAATGTTCTAACAATTAGCGCTTATCTTTGGTGGTGGTAAGGGGGTGCAAAGCACATTTTTTTAGAGGGTCTTGGTGGGAATGTGATTTATGTGAGTTTTGACGTGGTTTTGAATCGAGTTTGAGCATTTCAAAGGGACAGTGACAGCAGGGTCAAGTCGAGTTCATCGCGAGTTTGATGCAAATTTGATAGTTAGGTATTTTTCTGAGGCTTCGCGATTCGGAAAATTTATTTGACTCGATTTTTTCGGTTTTAAAGGGGCAGTGACAGCGAGGATTTACCGATTTCCAGATGGGCTTTATCAGAAGCCGATATCAAAAGTTCTCTCTGAGAATATTTGGGTGTTTTCCTGCCTAATTTAAGCCTCAAAATCAGGTTAAATCTAGTCTCTGAAAAATAATGCTACTATCTAAATTCACATTCCAAACCAATTTTTCAAATTCCGGAAACACAAAATTCCACGGGATAACCCTAATCCCAGATCCATCCCCTTCACCCTACCCCAAACTGACAGGATCTGCCCCCTGTGAGGTCCCCCGCGATTTCGTTTGAAGGGGGGTAGGGCTGTGTGTGAGTGCACGTTTGGCTGTGTGGAGGGCATTCGGGGGAGGGTTCACCCCTTCTCTCGCAATCTCTCGGTCTCTCTCCCTCTCTCACTCTCTCTCCCCGTATCGCAACACGAACGTTTTTTTGCGTGCCGTCGTGTCTGACTGGGCACTCCGGAACTAGCCCGGTCTCTACAGCCCGCCCTCCGAGAATTACCGTTTTTTTGCATAGGGATGGCGTTCCCTCGCCTCCCCCCAGCAGCCACTGAGCCTTTTTCGCCGTTCCCATCGCGTGGAAAGAAGAGAAAGAGCAAGAGAAAGGGAAAAAGAAGGGGGGAGCGTTCGTTCGCCCGTCAGCCACCCTCTTTTTGACCAGCCGGGTGGTCCCTATGTTGCCCTTGCGTTGCTCTTGCTCCCCTTGTTCCTCCTTTTAGCCCCGTTCTAGCCGGCCTCAGGGGAGCGATTCCGCACCGCAACAAGATTCGAACACGTTTTTGAAAATTAGCCGGCATTTGGCGGTGGGGACAGCTGGGTTTTTTTGCTTTTAAAGGGTTTGTGAAGTCAAAAAGTTGCATAGTTTTGTCCTTTTTCAGCTGCTACAGGTTTTAGGTGGTTTAAAGGCATTGTAAAGTCAAGGATCACTAGAAGTGTCTTTCTTTTCCTTGTTTCACTTATTTCACCTGGCAGTTATCCAATTTTGAATGTCTCTGGACCTTTAAAGTCATCAAAACGTTTACTAGAAATGTCATGTTCTGCTCCCTTGCATCTGTAGTTTGTATTACTGTACTTTTTCATCCTCTTCGCCTCCCTAAGGAGTTACAAAAATCATCCTTGATTCCACAAATTCTGTAAAATGTTCCAGGAGCCTGATGTTCACATTCCAAGAACAAATTCATGAGATTCAGACCGAAACACAGCTTTT